AGTGATTCAGGTCATAAAGCTTGTTTGGGATCCTAATTTGCTTTCTGTTGCTGTGATAAACATCATAACCAAAAACAGCTTGGAGAGGAAAGGGCTCATTTGACTTTAGGCACTGCTCACAGTCCATCATTGAGGACACCAAGGCAGAAACTGCAGTAGAGACAGTAACTGAAGCAGAGACCATGGAGGAGCGCTGATCACTGCCTACTCCCAAAGGCTTATTCAGCCTGCTTTCTTTTATAATACAGGACCACAGCACCAGGTGTAAGACTGTGAACAGTGGGTTTAGCATCAGTTATCAATCAAGAATATGCCCACAGACTTGCGTGTAAGCCAGAGTGATGGAGATCTTTTTATTCCTATTGAGGTTCCTTTTTTTCAGATGATCCTAGTTTGTATCAAGTTGACCAACAACAAAAACCCAAAGCAAAACCCAGTACAATTGATTCCTTGTCAACTTAACATACAAACATATCATCCTTGAACCATAACTTTTTTTGCCCCCCAAGTTCTCATGTTAATATTCATTCATGGCCTGATGGGTGGTGACTCAAGTCTTTAAATTTAGTACTTGAGAGATAGAGGCAAGTGTATCTTTATGGATTTGAGATCAACCTGGTCTACATAGTGAGTTCCAGGATAGCCAGGACTATGTAGAGAGACTATGTCTCAAAAAACAAAGCAAAACAAACAAAAATGAATGTCAAGGTGTGAAGCACGGTCTAATTTTTTGAAGTCTGGGTCTTTTAAAAAGTTCAACAAGGGGCAGGAGAGATGACTCAGCAGTTAAGAGCACTGACTGCTCCTTCCAGAGGACCCAGGTTGAATTCCCAGCACCCACATGGTAGCTCACAACTGTAACTTCAAGATCTGACACCCTCATACAGGCCAAATACTGATGCATATAAAGTAAAAATAAATTAAAAAAAATCTCAACAATTTGGAACTGGAGTACAAACTTAGTAACTAAGAACGCTGGTTGCTCTTCAAGAGAGGATCTGTGTGATTTCCAGTACCTACATAATGTCTCATAGCTTCCTATAACTAATTCCGGGGGATCTGACATCTAATCTTTAGTTTACTGCACGCAAATGTTGCACAGGCTTATATGTAGGAAAAGTACCCATACACATAAAAAAAAAAAAACCCTCAGCAATTTGAATATTCCCAAATTAAAAATATCCAAAGTCTCTTAACTGTAAGACAACTAGAATAAAAATAACTGTTACTATTTTAGAAGGAACCAGGGTTACAATCAGATCAAAACAAAATCAAATTCCAGCAGCTTAAGTAACTCAGTGTCCAAGGTCTGGGACTTAGGACTTTTTGGTCTACAGAAGTCTTGAGCAGCTCCACTTCTCCCACCGTGCCATATAGCTTGCCTTGTAGTCTCAGGCTGGCTCCACACCTGCTGCTGTCCTCAGTGGTCATCCCACAGTCTGGGCATCTCCATTATGCTGGGGTCTCCAATTGCAACTGAGCCTGTATCTCTGTCGGAGACCTCCTAGACTGTCTTCAGGGATACTTCAAGCCTGCCACACAGTGCCAAGCCTCAGCTGCTTTCTGTAAGCCCTTCATGCCTTCAGAATGGTTTATGGGAAACTCTTATGAAGTTTGACTTCCAGTTTGAGATGCAGCTTTGGACCCTCTCTGGACCACAGATTCTGTGTGCTGACCCAGAAGATTTCCCCTCGATGATGTTGGTCTCTCATTAATCATAGCTGATTTTTTTTTTTTTAAAGTTTTTTGAGACAGGGTTTCTCTGTGTAGCTTTGGAGAATGTCCTGAAGCTCACTTTGTAGACCAGGCTGGCCTCGAATTGACAGAGATATCCACTTGCCTCTGCCTCCTGAGTGCTGGGATTAAAGGTGTGTGCCACCACCATCTGACTAGTCACTGCTGATTTTAAGCCCCAGCTAACTAGCAGTGATTATCTAAAGATTTTATTTCACAGATTAACCCCTCCCCCCAACAGACAGAGTTTCTCTATATATCCCTGACTGTCCTGGAACTCCCTTTGTAGACCAGACTGGCCTTGAACTCACAGATGCACCTGCCTCTGCCTCTTGAGTGCTGGATTAAAGACACATGCCTCTACACCCAGCCTTACTTTCACAGAATCTTTATTGAAACTATCACACAAATGGCTCTGATAGAGAGCTTTAAGGAACTCTAAAATTTCCCTCTGAAACTTCATGGACCAGGCCTGTAATTTACATTTCTCTCATCTTAGCTTCCAGTGCTCTACAAAACAACCCACTAATCTCTGAGCACTCAACAGCTTTGCCAGCCCAGAGCTAATCCTATAAATCTTCCACCAAGCAACATGGTTACATCCATCACAGCAATACCCCAGTCCTGGTACCAGTTTCTCTCCTCCTTTGCTTTAGTTGCTGTGAGAAACACTGTGACCAAGAGCAACTTGGAGAGGGAAGGGGTTGTTTGGCTCACATGTTCTGATCACAGTCCAATCTTTTTTTTTTTTTTTTTAATATTTATGTATTATGTGTACAATGTTCTGTCTGTGTATACGCCTGCAGGCCAGAAGAGGGCACCAGACCTCATTACAGATGGTTGTGAGCCACGATGTGGTTGCTAGGAATTGAACTCAGGACCTTTGGAAGAGCAGGCAGTGCTCTTAACCACTGAGCCATCTCTCCAGCCCCACAGTCCAATCTTGAGGGAAGCCAAGACAGGACAAGCAGGGCAGGTCCTAGAGGCAGGAGCTAAAGCGGAAACCACAGAGGAACGCTGCTCACTGACTCAGTTTCCATGGCTTGATCATTTTGCTTTCTTATTCATCCTAGATCTGCCTGTCCAGAAATAGTACCAGTACTACACACAGTATGCTGGGCCCTTACACATTAGTCAATAAACGTCCCACAGACATAGCTACAGGACAGTCTAATGGAGCATTTTTTTCAATTGAGATTCCTTCTTAGCAGATGCTCCTCAATTGAGTCAGGTTGACAAAAAACAAACAGACAAAAAAACTGGTTTTTGGGACAAACACTTCTGCTTGCTTAAGGTAGACCTGCAATTTAATGTATTTAGTTCAATCCCTAACAGAAGAAGACAGAGTGGGACATATTTGGAATTCAACAACTTGAAGACATTATATTATAACAGGAGAATTGGGAGTTCAAAGTTATCCTTGGCATAATAGTCATTTGAGGACATCTGAGCTTCCTAAGACCTTTGCCTCGAAGGGGGATAAAAGGAAATAAAAAGGTAGTTAGGTGCTATGATTGGATCTTCCAGCTTCTAGAGAGGTTAAGACAGCCGGGCAGTGTTGGCGCACACCTGTTAATCACAGCACTCCGGAGGCAGAGGCAGGCAGATCTCAGAGTTCGAGGCCAGCCTGGTCTACAAGAGTTAGTTCCAGGGCAAGCTCCAAAACCACAGAGAAACCCTGTCTCGAAAAAACAAAAAAGAAAAAAAAAAAAAAGAAGAAGAAGGGGGCTGAAGAGATGGCTCAGCGGTTAAGAGCATTGCCTGCTCTTCCAAAGGTCCTGAGTTCAATTCCCAGCAACCACATGGTGGCTCACAACCATCTGTAATGAGGTCTGTGCCCTCTTCTGGCCTGCAGGCATACACACAGACAGAACATTGTATACATAATAAATAAATAAATATTAAAAAAAAAAAGGTTAAGACAAAACTAGCATAGTAGGATCCAATGTCAGATATTTATGTACTGATAGCTGCTATTATGTGGATGGACTTTGTTAATTTTAAGCTAAATGAAAGAAATAGGAATTCATTAATATGAAATGCCAGGTAATTTTTAGAAAGTGGTTGCTAGGAGTAAGGAATAATGGTGTTTACTTAATTGGAACTAGATGGTACCAGTTGGAGGGCATTGTGAATGTACTTAATGTGATTGAATTCTATTCTTGAAAATGATTATAATGGTACATTTTATGTTGTCCATACACAATATAATAAGAAGGATGTGAAACCTTTCCAGTACTCTCAAAACCTGGTCGTTGTCATAGCCCACTGCAGACAGGTACTATACAGGCCTGTACTTTAGTAATCAGCGCTAGGATGAATTTCATTTACTGGGGTAATTGTTTGCTGCATACTGTTCTGTGTGGCCTTGGTGGTACCCAGTGAGTCTGAAATCTTTGAGGGTGCTGCTGCATGCAGAGGAATTGTGCAGTACTTCTGGATGTAGTGTAGGGTGCAATTTATGCTTCAAATTGTACGTGCAAGTTGTTGGTAATTGTTTTGAATTTTCTCGTATTTCAATTTGGGCATGAATGCCCTAGATGGCATGGCTGACCTTGACAACCTAGAACTCTATATACCCACGTTGGTCTTAGTTGGCTGCTGTCCTTCTTTCTGTTCTCTTAGCTCTTGAATTATGGTTGTGTAACCCTCTTGGCATGGGTACTCATTTTTGATCATGAAGACTCTTTTATTGATATTTCTCAGGACTCTAGAGAAAATAAATTCTCTTTTTTCTTAGTGTCTTTCCATGAATTTCACAATCAAGGGCTATGATTACAAGCTTAGTGTTGGGGGCATCACATCTACCTGTGCCCTTGCCAGTTTACTCTGGCGAAGTTTCAGTGTGTCCTTTGAACACATGGACAGTGAAGAAATGTTGTTTGGACAATATTTAGTTTCGTGTGTGTGTGTGTGTGTGCGCGCGCGCGCGCGCACAAAAGACTGGAAGTTCATGTGCAACAGAAGACACAATGGGTGTTGGTCCTCGATCTTTTACCTTGAGGCTGGGTCTCTCTTTGCTGCTCTGTATGCTGGGCAGGCTGGCCTACAAGCTTTTGGGGGAGTTCTCTTGTTTCTGCCTCCAGTCTTCCTGTGTCACAGATGTATGCTATGATGCCTGGTTTACATGGGTTCTGGATACTCAGATTGTCCACCTGAGCAGCCTTGTCAGTTCCATCTTTAATTTATTCTAGTCAAGGTAGATGCCTGGTGGGTTTCATGATGAAAATCATCCTGAAAATCACTGTCTGTGTTTTTCCCATTAGTGGTGCTTGTGGGGAGGTAAAAATGGCTTTTGAGCGGAGAACGTGCAGGAAAGTAGCCATAAAGATCATCAGCAAACGGAAGTTTGCTCTCGGCTCGTCGAGAGAAGCAGTGAGTACCCGTGTTACCCGTGTTTATAGCTGCCTGGTCTTCACATTGCTTCTTAACTTCCTCGAGGAACCCTGGAGCATGACTCAACTTCAGGAAGGCTGCATAGCTGAGATGTAGTACTTTTTTTCTCCTTGGTTTTTCAAGACAGGGTTTTTCTGTGTGGCCCTGGCTGTCCTGGAACTCGCTTTGTAGACCAGGCTTGCCTCAAACTCCCAGAGAGCCGCCTGCCTCTGTTTCCTGAGTGTTGTGATCAACACTGATTTTGAAAGTATTTGTTAAAATGGCAACTCCTTATTAGCTGTAATGTATTATTTTGCCTCACTCTACAATCACTCTATGTGGTGATTACTTTTTATTCCAAAAAAAAAAAAAAACAAAAAAACTTTTTTTTTTTTTTTTTGAGATAGGGCTGTCTCACAGCCCCAGCTGTCCTTGAACTTATGGAGTGAGTCTGGCCTGTGCCGTTGCCTCCTCTGGAGTGCTAGGCATATACTCCTATCTTGACAGAGGGAGCTTATTAATGCTCTTATTAATTAACCTTTAAATAATTTTTACTATTTGATGACAGCAAAGGAGAGCGACTGTTTCCCTTGGCCCTGCTGATCCCATTTGCTATGAAAGGCTTCAGGTGTTTCCAAAGAGTCAGCTAGCCTCTGCCTGATGTGATTCAGTTCTGAGTCTGAGCTGAACACTATACACATGTTCTGGATGTTATCAGACAGGTGTAAACAGATGTCACTGAGGAGCAGTGGTTCCAACTTCCTCATAATTTATGCAGATAAGAATTCGCTTCTTGGGGCTGGAGAAGATGGCTCAGTGGTTAAGACCACTGACTGCTCTTCTGGAGGTCCTGAGTTCAATTCCTAGTAACCACATGGTGGCTTAGCCATCTGTAATAAGATCTGATGCCCTCTTCTGGCCTGCAGGCATACATGCAGGCAGAACACTGCATACACAATAAATAAATACATCTTTAAAAAAAAAAGAATTCTCTGCTTGATTGTTGAGGTAATTCCCAATTCTTTGCTCTTTGGCAAATGGCAATGACTGAGTTTGTTACAGAAAAACATTTAAAAAAAAGTTATTTTCAAGACAGGGTTTCTCTTTGTAGTCCTGTCTTTCCTGAGACTTGCTCTGTAGTCCAGGCTGGCCTCACACTCTGCCTCCTGAATGCTGGGATCAAAGGTGTGTGCCACCACTGCCCAGCTTAGAAACACTTTTATCAGAGTCAGAGATTTATGAATGCCAGACAAGTACTGTACCACTGAGATAACATTTCCAATTCTCAGCTGCAGATTTTAGAATGTAAATTATTTTTATGTGACAGCTATTTATCACTTTTCTGCCCACATTTACTGAGTGAGTGAGCCAGATGTGTTGTTTTTCTGCACATGATGCGACACAGTAATAGAAAAGGTGGGACCCAGTCACTCCTTTTTCCCAGCCAGCTGTTTCTGGCTTTAACATTCTTCACATTGTTTTTCCCGGATAATTCTATTCTTACATGGCAATAGGAATTTCCGGTCTGTGTTCACTTTGTTATAGACATGATTCTGGATTTGCCTCCTGTTTAGGGGGAAAAGCATATCTACTAGATTGATAAAACTTAGAACCAATCTTTACTTCTTATTGTTGTCTTCCAGTCATTGTACTCTGTGGGACCTCTTAGTTAGTAGAACCTCCCACCCCAGCCCTGCAATGTATTAGTGAGTGTGGGAGCTGAGAGGAAAAGGCTGGATTTAAAAATTTTAAATCTGGGAGGGCTGGAGAGATAGCTCAGTGGTTAAGAGTACTGGCTGTTCTTCCAGAGAACCTGGGTTCAATTTTCAACACTCACAGCTTTCGATACTCCCAGTTCCAGGGGGCTCAGCACCCGCACACAGATATTCAAATTTTCAACTCGAACTTGTCCATACTGGGTTTCATGGTCAAAGTTAATGAAGACTGACCAGGTCTCTTCCTCTCACACAGATGTACGTGTAGGCAAAACACCAATGTGCATAAAAATAAAAAATAGAGAAAATATGTATTTAAATATCTTTAATCTGGGCTTTTTGGACAAAGTCCATTTTACATAAATATGCAATTTTGTGTCATCTGTATGAACAGAGGCTATTTTGTAACTCAGGCAGTCTTTACTTAAGATGAATACTAACCATTGCAATTATTATTATTAATGAACTGTAATGTTATCCTTTTTAAGGACATGGCTCCCAGTGTTGAAACTGAAATAGAAATTTTGAAAAAACTAAATCACGTAAGTATTACTATCACTTATAGAAACTTGTCTGAAAATATGGGACATGTACATAGCATGTCTGTAGGAGGTTAGTGTTGACCTGGGCATGTGAACGCACACATGACCAAAATCTTTTTAAGCTTGCAAGAGTTTTCCTTAAAGCTTGTGAAAATATAATCCTCTGTAAAGGCTTCATGACCTCATGATTCAATGCTCAGTATTTTTGATGAGATCTTGACCAAAATCTTATAGAGATTAGTGATTATATTTGTAAAGAAAATGAAAGTTTTAGTGAGGTTAATCACATCTGAAAATTTGGCACTTTTAAATACGTTTTCTTTGGAGTATTTTATTTAAATCTGTGGTGTGTGAGAGGTGAATGGAGGCCTGTCTCATTTTATCTTGTCTCATTCCTTGGTGTGGGAGTCTGGTTGGGTATAAATGTTCCTCCTTTTTTCTCAGGATCAGTGTGTCTGTGGAAGATGAGAAGGGCTGTAGTGGGCTAGGCTGGTCCTGTCTTCCCTTTGCTAGTTCTTTCAGTGTCTTCATCGGTTTATGTGTCCCCGTAGGGACAGGAGTCAACTTGACCCAAACCTCCAAACAGAAGAGTTTCTTTGTTCTCTCTTTCATCTCCTCACATCTCTTCAAGTACTTGAAGCTCTTTTTATTCTAAATTACTGCCTTTGACACAGTATCTCACTGCCTGTTTACAGCTCAGTGGTCGCCCTCTTACTTGGCTGTCCTCTGTTGCATTTGCAGCTTCTTCCTTTCCTGCTCTTTCTTCCCTTTCCTTTTTCTTTCCTTCTGCCTTTTCTCCTCCTCCTCACCTACCTCCTCTCCTGCTCTTTTCATTTTATTCTTTTTTTGTTGTTTGGAGACAGCCCCGCACTTCTGCCCTGGTTGGTCTGGGAATACTGTGCTCACATGACCCTTCCATCTCTGTCTCTTGAGTGAGTTTGTTTCTGTTCCTTGTAACAGGAACTGGCTGAATTGACTTGGCCGGGCTCTGATGCCTGGCTCAAGCAATCTTCCTGCTGCAGCTTGCTTTGCCAGTTTTGTTTTGTTTTGTAAAACACATTCAGTGCTGGCAAAAAGGCTCAGAGGTTTAAGGCACTTGCTACTAAGTCTGACAATCTTAGTTGGATCCCTAGGAACCACAGGAGGAAGAGAACATCAGCTCTCACAAGTTCTCCCCTGATTTCCACACATGCTCTATGGCATGCATAGATATAGATAGACACATGTAATCAAATAAACAAACAAGCAAACCAATCCATACATCCCATCTCCCTAAGTATTTTGCTGGTTATTTTGATCCTTTTTAAAGCGGAAGTCTCGCCTTAGCACTCATCAGTGTTTCCAAGGTCTTACATGCTGCGAGGCAGTGGGGCCTCCACTGATTGTCTTATAACAGTTCACTGCAGGAAGGCCCCCTGGATACAGAGCAGCAGTTATGATGAGACTTGCTTTGATGGAAGAATACTATGATGAGTTTCACCACCCTCTTAATCTCAAACCTGGAAGTAGTATAGGCTGTCTGGTTCTCACATGATCACAATCCTTTATTCTAATTGATACTTACCCAGTCTGGTTCTTATCTCTATCACTGAACTTGGCTGTCAATTGTAAGCACAATAGGTATGCTTTCTAAGTGGAAAATCATAAGTGTGCATTCTAGAGTATCTAAACCTGTTCTTCCCTGCCCGCTGTGTTCTCTGTTCTCTGTCCCCTGTGCTGATACTTGGTCATAATCTGGAGGCTATGCTTGGAAGGTCTTATACAATGGGGAAGATCTAATCATGAAAGTTTCCTTCTATTGTCCTTGCTTCCAGTCCTGGAGCTGTATGGATCTGGTGTCTGGTAATATAATTGGGCTTCCTCCCTAGCTTTCTTCTTTGTTGTTGAGAAAAGGTCTCATTTTGCAGGCTGGCTTTGAACTTGTTTTATAGCTGAGGTTGGCCTTGAGTTCTTGATTTTCCTTCCTTGCCCTCCTAAGTGCTAGGATTACAAATTAGCTTCATGGTCTCTGGTGTGTGTCTGGTTCTCCTTCACTCTTGTGCTAGGATTGGATTTCAGGTCTCAGACCTGCTGTGAAAACTCCCCACCACTGTTCTGCTGCTGCCTTATGCATGGTCCTTGTCAGGTTGCTTGAGTCCTGTTCTGGACAAATGAAGAAGGCTGGGAGGACCTGCTGTCACTCTTAGGTAGGCTCATATGCACACATGAATTTCCCCTTGCTGACTGATACTGAGTGTTCTCTCTGAAGAGTCAGAAACATTTCTTCCGCCTTCTCCTGTACTTGACATAAAAACATCCTCAGATAAGAGTCCAGTGCCTGGTCTTTGTCCTCCTGAGACCTCAGTTTCTGGGCCTTGAGGTTTTTTTTGTGGAGTGTCTCACTTCTCTCTTCTTCTCTGTTCTAGCCTTGCATCATCCAGATTAAAGATGTTTTTGATGCAGAAGATTATTACATTGTTCTGGAGTTGTAAGTAGTAACTTTGTTTTCTTCTGTTTCGTTTTGGTTTTGGTTTTTTGAGACAGGGTTTCTCTGTGTAGCTTTGGAACCTGTCCTGGAACTTGTTCTGTAGACCAGGCTGGTCTCGAACTCATAGAGTCCTGAGATTGGAGTCATGTATCATTGCTGCCCAGCAAGTAGTAGTAATATTTTAAATTTATGTTTCTGTGTAAGTCTTATAGGCCAGCAAAGAATTGAATGCAGACCTGCCTTTGTCATGCTGTGGCTCTCAATGGAGATGTGTTAGTGGAGTCACTGCTGTGTGCGTGTGTGCGTGTGTGTGCGTGCGTGTGTGTGTGTGTGTGTGTGTGTGTGTGTGTGAGTGAATTAATTCTAAAGCTCTTCTAATGACAGGTATGAAGGGATTGAGACCTTGTATCTGAGGCCTGAGATTGAGCTTTATTTTGTACAGGACAAGCTGATTGTCCTTGGAAGGAGTTCATTTCACCTCCCTGACTCTCATTTTCTGAGTGTTGAATGTGAATAACAATTGTACTCTAGCTGGTATACTTTTTTTTTTTTTTTTTTTTGTTTTTGTTTTTCAAGACAGGGTTTCTCTATGGTTTTGGTTCCTGTCCTGGAACTAGCTCTTGTAGACCAGGCTGGTCTCGAACTCACAGAGATCCGGCTGCCTCTGCCTCCCGAGTGCTGGGATTAAAGGCATGCGCCACCACCGCCCGGCTTAGCTGGTAGACTTCTTAAAAGGATTAAATGATTTGAAGTTTGGGAAGCCCTTCAGGATACTGACAGATGTGGACATTAAACATGAGTCCAATTTATCATTACTCTGAAGGTATCTGCCTGGGTGGACTATTCTTGAGAACCGTGAGCCCTGGCTACATGGTGGCTCTTGAATGTCTTTTCGTATCTTCAAATTTCATATTCCTGGAGGTGGCCTGCTGTATGTCTGTTCTTGTATAAACTTGTGTGTTTCTGGGAACAGCTGTTGGGTCAGACAGGGAATGCTGTGCTCATAGTTCCTATGAGGAGTGGCCATTAAGATTATAATTGGGAGGGCACGATGTCTCATTGAATAAAAGCACCTGCTGCCAAGTTTGAGGACCTGAGTCTGATCTGTAAGACCAAATGTTGAAAAGAGAGAACTGATTCTTGTAAGTTGTCCTTTGACCTTTACGTTTAAGACATGTCGCACATGTGCTTTATATACACACACCCCCAGCAATAGTGTGTGCCCATTATTTATAGAAAGGCCGAAAACATGGCTCAGTGGTTAAGAACACTGATTGCTCTTCCTCCAGAAGCTTTGGGTTCAATTCTCAGCACCTGCACGAGTTCAGGCAACAAATTTTAATAATAGTAGTAACAATATAATCAACAGTCGCTGCTGCTTGTTAAAGCCTTGCTGTGCGCCCAATATTGCTGTCGGCGTTTCCCTTCATAACGCTCCTACAGGTGCCAGCGGGTTACTGCTTCACTGTTGACGTTCTCATTGAACATCTGCACTGTGCCATGCTTTTTACCTGTGTCAGTAGTGGACTCAAACCTAGGGTCTTGCACATGGTAGGCAAGTGCCCTCCCTACATTCTCAGCCATCACTTAGTACTTTTTTTTTTTTTTTGAGGTGGAGTCTCACGTAGCCCACTTTGGTATTAAATTCTTTGTGTAGCTCAGGATCTCCTTGAATGTACCAGCCTCTTTTTTCTGAGTACTGGGCTTAAAGATAATGTACCACCAATTATGTCTTTATTTAACATCAGTTATTATAGGTAGGATTAAAGGTGTGGGCCACCACCACCCTGCTGGAACCAGACTTTTGAAAGTCCCCAAAGAAGTCATGCTATTCCACTTTTTCTTCTTTTCTAGCTGGGGCATCTGACTGTGGATGAGGCTTTTAATAGCTCATTAATTTGTTAGAAGATTTATTTTGTATTACTTTTAAGTTTGTGTGTGTGTGTACACATGATTGCCAGTGCTCGGAGAGGTCAGAGGTGGGCTTTGTTTCCCCGGAGCTGGAGTTACAGGCACTTGTGAGTTAGGCATGGGTGTTGGGAGGTGAGTGAACGAGGGCATGACCTCTCCAAGGTATGGTTTTTATTGTCGGAATAAGGGCGAGCACAGCGAAAGGCATCTCGAGGAGTCCAGAGCTGGGAGAGAAGTAGCATAATAAACCAGGTTATGAGAGAAGAAAGAAATGAAGAGAAGGAGAGAGGAACAGGAAAGAGCAAGGAGGAGGGCCAAGAGAACCAAGAGAGCACATGGCCCAAAAGGCAGGGAAGTTATGGAAGCCCTGAAGCTGCAGAAGTTTAGGGGAGGGGGTAGGTTGAGAAGAGCTGAGGGGAGCCTTGGGGACTCAGTGAGCCTTAACAACTGAGCCATTGCTCTCAGCCTTCGAGATTATTTATGTGTTTGTTTGTTTTGAGGCAGGGTATCCTGTATCTCTGGCTAGCCTGGGGCTTACTATATAGATCATAACAGGGTGGCCTTGAATTCTACCTGAGTGCTGGGATTAAAGTCATGCCCTACAACGCCCAGTCAAGCACATTAATTTTAAAAGTTATGTGAAGAGTGTATAAAAGTGACCTGTGCTTTAGTGCTAGAGTTCCAGGCCAGGGCCTTTGACTTGTGAGGCATGCGCTCATTTGCGCTCTCTCACGCACACACGCACCCCGTTTTGCTGAGCTAGATGAGTTTGTTTCTTTTGTGCTGTGCCTCACGAGTGAAGGTCCCTCTTTATTTGTGTTTCAGGATGGAAGGTGGAGAGCTCTTTGACCGGGTGGTGAGCAAACGCCTGAAGGAAGCAACCTGCAAGCTCTATTTCTACCAGATGCTTTTGGCTGTACAGGTGAGAGAAGCCCTCTTGTGGTAGGCGAGGACATCCTCTAGGAGAAAATGCCTGCCCCCGTGACTCAGATGCTCAAATGCTGCTGGGAGTGTGAGTGACAGTAAGAAAGAGAACTAAAGAAATGACCTGGTGCCATAGGTGCCATAGCCTGGAGTCCCGGCTACTGGGGGAGCTTAAGGCAGGAGTCTCGTTCAAATCTAGCTTAGGCAATTTAGAGAGAACTTGTTTCAAAATGAAACACTTCAGAGGTAGAATGCTTGCCTACCACGGACAAAGTCATCTCAGAAAAACAAAATCCATATAACCCCATCTAAGTTTTTGACTTGGAGGGCCTTCTGGAGGGGCATTGATTTTTGCACCTACCTGATCCCTGTGGCAATGTCTTGGTTTTCAAGGTGTAAAGATGGGATTGAAAGCAAAGATGACTGACCAGTTGGGATGATTGAGATAGATAATTTGTTCCTCTACGATCCGATAATGTGTTCCTTACGAATAGCACCCCATGAGATGCAGTGCACCGGTAATGGGTGGGTGTCGGGGAATGTGCTCATGCTTTGTCCCATATTTTGTGGTGGTGATTACTTCCCATGGTTTGATAAGTTGGTCAGTGTCTCTCTCTCTCCTTCTTCCCCCATCTCTGTGCTCTAACTTTTAACTCTCTCCTCTGTTGACAAGGTCTTTCTCTGTGGCCCTAGTTGTCATAGAATCCATGCTGGCCTTTAACTTCAAAGCCAGGCAGTGGTGCAGCACAGCTTTAGTCCCAGCACTTTGGAGGCAGAGGCAGGTACATTTCTGTGAGTTCAAGGCCAGCCTGATCTACAAAGCAAGTTCTAGGACAGACAAGGCTACACATAGAGAAAACCTGCTGAAGCCTTACTCCAGCTCTGACTTTAAGGAGTGAGCCGACATTTAATACAGCTTGGGTTCACCCTGGCTAGGAGTTAGGTATTAGTCACTGTCTTCACATGTGTTTGGTATAAACCAATGGTCCTGCCTCTCTTTTTGCACAGTACCTTCACGAAAATGGGATTATACATCGGGACCTAAAGCCAGAGAATGTTCTTTTGTCTTCTCAAGAAGAGGACTGCCTTATCAAGGTGGGAACTTTTCATTCTCTCTGTTGCCACTGCTGTATATTTCTTTTCAAAACTATCCTTTAATTTCTTACATAAAAAAAATAGGAATATCTAAAGGTTGAGAATCTGAACTTCCCATATTTAACAGTTATTGCTGAGATCACACCATATTCTTTTTTTTCTTTTTCTTTTTTAATATTTATTTATTTATTATGCATCTGTTTGTGTGTATGCCTTCAGGTCAGAAGAGGGCACCAGACCCCATTACAGATGGTTGTGAGCCACCATGTGGTTGCTGGGAATTGAACTCAGGACCTTTGGAAGAGCAGGCAATGCTCTTAACCTCTGAGCCATCTCTCCAGCCCCGATCACACCATATTCTACCAATCTAATGAGCACTTATTGAGTTCTGTGTATACAAGCCACTTCTGTGTTCAGAGAGGAAGGATCTGAATGGATCATTGAGTCATGGATCCTGCCTTTTCAGCCTAACCTCTCTTTAGAATCTCTTGTTACAATTAGTAGACAAAAACTAACAAGAAGACCCCAAAACTCAAGGGTGAGAACAGGTGCATTTCTCCCCATTCCCCAAGCTTTTCAGATGTTCCATGGTGTAGTTTAATTTAAGGGTCTTGGGCCTAAAAAATATGCCTAAGTGTAAAGAGTCCTAATGTGTTTGTGGCAGGGCTTATGCAGTTTTTGTTAAGGTTATAATGATGGAAAAATCTTGGTTCTCAGGTTCCTGGGCCCAGGGATTTTCTTTTAGGCAGAATTAAATGTTTTGCAAAGACATGAAATTGTACATTTTGGGTTAATGGAGGGTGTGTGACTAATAGCCAATCCATGTTTCTTGGGAATGATTGGCTGTGATCGTGTTTGGATTTTGTTTGTTTCCTTTAAAATTTTAGATCACTGATTTTGGACAGTCCAAGATTTTGGGGGAGACATCACTGATGAGAACTTTATGTGGTACGCCCACTTACCTGGCTCCTGAGGTCCTTGTCTCCAATGGGACTGCTGGGTACAGCCGTGCGGTAGACTGCTGGAGCTTAGGAGTTATTCTTTTTATCTGGTAGGAAATATTTTCTGTTTCACAGTCTAGTTGGATGAGGGCAGATGGAAGCTGTACCTATGTCTGGGTAGAGAGCTTGTGTTTGATTTTGGTCATTTTTAAATCATTGATTCAAGGAAAAACTGATTTTTCTCAATGCTGAAAAGACCTGTGTATCCAAATGGCACTAAGAATGCCAGTTGATCTTTTTCCCTTTCTTTTTCTGCCAATATTAAGCCTCAGTGGGTATCCGCCTTTCTCTGAGCATAAGACTCAAGTGTCACTGAAGGATCAAATCACCAGTGGAAAATACAACTTTATTCCTGAAGTCTGGACAGATGTTTCAGAGAAGGGTATGGACATAAAAGAGTTTTACTGAATGTGGGTGTTTTTTTGGTGGGAGTTTCTTCTCAAACTCCATGTTTTTTTCTCCTGTCTGTTTTGTTCCATTGCTTTGCACCATTTGAAGGGAAGAAAACATTATTAAGAGCCTGGGCTTTTGACACTGAGATGAAGTCCTAAGTCTGTTATTTGTTAGTTTTGTGACCTTAGGCAAGTTACTTAACTTTTTTGGTTCTCCATTTTCTTTATTTGTAAATAGGTGGTCAATAACCCTGACATTAAAGATTTTGTGTGAGGTTTAATATAACATACACAAGGGCCTGCTACCCATTCAAGTGTGCAAAATAACTTTTAATAACAAACATTTCTTAGAGTAAGAAGAATGGAAAAGTTTAATGTCATCAGTTAGCTGTATTTTATAATTTAAAAGTGCACCTTTGCAACTCTCTGGAGAAAAAGGTGAAGACTAAGTGTCCAATAGTATAGCATAGATGATAGTGTTAAATATCAGGGATTCCAGAAAGAATATTGCTGCAGCATGCAAGCTAGGCTTTGGCAGTTGCTGGCCTGTGGGGTTGGGCTTTGTTTTTACATGCCTAGAGAGAACTACTCTCTGGTCTCACTGTCAAGCAATGGGATGCAGAGTTAGTGTATCCTGAGTATCTCATAACTGGGTAGAAGTTCAGTTTTAATTAGCCTAAACTCAATTACAGCAGCAAGAAAGGAAAGAAGAAGCCAAAAAATTGTGATGTCCCAGCAGGGAGTAATGGGATATATTCTTATCCATAAGGTTCCAGTTCTCTGCATTCAGAGAGGGAGGGGCTTGAAGAGCTCTCTCCACCAAATTGGCTGACTTCTTGCTGCTCTCCTCTCTGGCTGATGGTCTGTAGTTCTGACATAGTTTGAAAACACAGGTGAAATGTACTCATTTTTTTCATTATGATTTTCCCAATTCTCTGCTTTCTTAGCTCTGGACCTTGTCAAGAAACTGTTGGTTGTGGATCCAAAATCTAGGTTTACCACTGAAGAAGCCTTGAATCATCCATGGCTACAGGTGGGTGTGTGAGGCAATGCATGTTTGCCTAAAATTAGGGGGAGCCCTGAACTGCGTAAGTGAGGTGAGGCTGAGGGTCACACACAGTCTCTGTTGTTGGATTCGTTTATGTGTTTTCAATTTGATTGTAGGTATAGTGTGTGTGTGTAAATGGTTTCCAATCAGGATACACATGTGGAGGAGGGAAAGAAGGAGGAAGAGATGAGGGGAGGGAGGGTGAATGGATTTGTGTATGTGTTTGGGATGTCAACTCCTTCCTTGCAACTCATACATAGCTCCTGGATGAACAAGCTCACTTTATGTTAGGTTCTGGTTCCATTTGGCTGCCCTGACATTGCAGCATAATCCTTTGAGAGCCTGGTCTTCCTCAATGCCCAGCTGTCTCCTTTTTCTGCTCCTCCTCTACGAGGTGGAGTGGGCTGGGCTGTGTTCCAGCCATTCTTCACCTTCAATCAAGAAATCTGGGGCAGGTCCAGGAAGGCAGTCTCCCTGAGGGAACCCAGTCACTTCCTGAGCCAGGTGGTTATGTTTTAAAGGGTCTCACTCTTGTTCCTAGTGAGCCAGCATGCCCTTAGTGCAGGCTGTCACCTGTACCCTTTTAGTTTGCATGATGTCTGTGTTCACACATCCCTGTTGCTGTGAGATTTTTGTGCCAAGCTCATTCAAAGCTGCTGTCAGAGCATCTATGACTTTGGGAGATTAATTGCTGGCTTGGAGTTAATTAACCGGAGTATCCAGCAGTATCTACCAGTATTTTGGTAGATGTGATTCTGCTGCTCAGCTTGGCCACACTTTGCTGTGAACTCCTGATGGCTTCTGTTTGGGCCTGGGTGACGTTACCTTCCATGGTTCTCTGTTCCCGGGACACCTTGAAAAAACAAGTGTCCCTGCTAGTCTTCTGGGACTCTGGAAGATTGTCCACTTTCTCACTTGTAATTCTCCACACCTAAGTTTTGATCAGACCTGCTCAAGCTGAGAACAACAAATCCTAAAAAGAAGGACAGTGGGCCAGGCGGTGGTGGCGCACGCCTTTAATCCCAGCACTTGGGAGGCAGAGGCAGGCGGATCTCTGTGAGTTCTAGACCAGCCTGGTCTACAAGAGCTAGTTCCAGGACAGGCTCCAAAACCACAGAGAAACCCTGTCTTGAAAAAAAAAAAAAAAAGAAAAAAATAAATAAATAAATAAATAAATAAAAGAAGGACGGTGGCTGGGGTCGGGGGGATGGCTCACCAGGCCCAGCACCAAACCTGGGGACCTGAGTTTGATCCCCAGTATACATGGTGGAAGGAGAGAACTGACTACTGAAATTGTCCTCTGACTCCACACATGTGCACATAAGATAAATAAGCAAAAAATGCAATAAAATATTAAGAAAAAGGAGGAAGATGGGGAGGGGAGGAAAAAAAACAGATAGATGTGTTTTGGATGTTGCCCTGGAAACATTCTCCTCCTAGAATAAATCTGTCAGATGATTTAGTGTTTACTAGATCACACAGATCTGAAAACAGGAAGGGCCTTGGAGACCAGGAGTTTGGAAACAAAGGTGTCATTACATGTGGGGATTTAACTTTGATGAAAAAGAGAAACCCACTCCTTGGCTCCTTTCACATGCTTTAATAGGGGCAGCTTCTGGGATTGAAATGGAGGCAGACACATTGCTGGCTTTCTGTGTTAACATTCAAATAGTTAGGCCTAGCAACAAGGGTTTGTATTTGTCTGAGATGCATGAGTCAGCATAGCCCATTTTGTTTGTACTTCTGTCTCAAAAGAAATCTGTTGTGCACAAGCAAGAAAACATGAAGCTTGGCTCTGCCCCAATCTTTTTTTTTAATTGATATTTATTGAGCTCTACATTTTTTCCTGCTCCCCTCCCTGCCTTTCCCCTCCACACTTTAACCCTCCCCAAAGGACCCCATGCTTCCAATTTACTCTGGAGATCTTGTCTTTTTCTACTTTATACTTCCCATGTAGATTATATCTATGTAAGTCTCTCTTAGTGTCCTCATTGTTGTCTAAGTTCTCTGGGATTGTGATTTGTAGACTGGCTTTCTTTGCTTTATGTTTAAAAACCTCTATGAGTGAGTACATGTGAGTATGAGTGTCTTTCTGTGACTGGGTTACCTCACTCAATATTATGTTTTCTAGATCCATCCATTTTCCTGCAAAATTCAAGCTGTCATTATTTTTTTCTGCTGTGTAGTACTCCTTTGTGTAAATGTACCACATTTTCCATTTTTACTCTTTGATTGAAGGGCATTTAGGTTGTTTCCAGGTTCTGGCTATGACAAACAATGCTGCTATGAACATAGTTGAGCACATGTCCTTGTGGCACTATTGAGCATCCTTTGGATATATACCCAAAAGTGATATTACTGGGTCTTGAGGAAGGTTGTTTCCTAATTTTCTGAGAAATCGCCACACTGATATCCAAAGGGGCTGTACCAGCTTGCATTCCCACCAGCAATGCAGAAGTGTTTCCTTTTCCCCACAACCTCTCCAGCCTAAGTTGTCATCAGTGTTTTTGATCTTGGCCATTTTTATAGGTGTAAGATGGAATCTCAGAGTTGTTTTGATTTGCATTTCTGTGATGACTAAAGATTTGAACATTTCCTTAAGTGTCTTTCAGCCATTTTAGATTCCTCTGTTGAGAGTTCTCTGTTTAGGTCTGTATTCCATTTTTTTTTATTGGATTATGTGATCTTTTGGTGTCCAATTTCTTAAGTTCTTTGTATATTTTGGAGATCAGACCTCTGTCTGATGTGGGGTTAGTGAAGATCTTTTCCCATTCTGTAGGCTGTCATTTTGTCTTGTTGAAAATGTCTTTTGCTTTACAGAAACTTTTCAGTTTTAGGAGGTCTCATTTATTAATTGTTTCTCTCAGTGTCTGTACTGCTGGGGCTATATTTAGAAAGTGGTAACCTGTACCAATGTATTCAAATGTACTTACCACTTTCTCTTCTATAAGGTTCAGTGTGGCTGGCTTTATGTTGAGGTCTTTAATCCATTTGGAATTAAGTTTTGTGAATGGTGATAGATATGGGTCTATTTTCATTCTTCTACATGTTGATATTCAGTTATGCCAGCACCACTTGTTAAATATGCTTTCTTTTTTCCATTTGATATTTTTTACTTCTTTATCGAAAATCAGGTGTTCGAAGATGTGTGGATTGATATCCCGGTGTTCTATTCGGTTCTCCTGTCTGCTCTTATGCCAATACCAGGCTGTTTTCAGTAGAGTTTGAAGTCAGGGAATGTGATGCTTCCAGAAGTTCTTTTATTGTACAGGATTGTTTTTCTGTCCCAATCTTATGTGAAGATACTTCTAAGCATTTTGCTTGGAATAGCATTGTAGGCACTGGATGAAGAGGGCGAGGGCACAAATGGGCTATCTAAACATTTGCTAATGATGATAAGCTTGAACTTGGCGGGGGAAGAGAATTCTTTCTCTGCTTTGTCATTAGCTGTATCCAATTGGGGGATATTCTTCATACTTTCTATTTCAGTTTGTTTTGTTTTTTTTGAGACAGGGTTTCTTTGTAGCTTTGTAGCTAGTTCTGGAACTTGCACGTCTTAAATTTACAGAAATCCATCTGCCTCTGCCTCCTGAGTGCTGGTATTAAAGGTACGTGCCATCACTGCCCAGCTCTATTTAACTTTAATAAAACAGAAGAGTCCTTCCTACTTCCCTTTGAGGGATATTGTGACTTAATGTATGTCGACTTCTCACAGATTTACAGATAGATCTTGCCACTTGTGCTAATGTTGAGATTCTTTTTCAACTTATTGTTGACTGATAGCTTGTGAATATGATGCACATAGCCTCAGGTCATTCTGGCCACACCAAACAATGTCTAGAAGGACATTTATGTTAATTAGCTTTCTGTTACTGTAACACATTACATGAGAGAAATCAACTTATAAAGAGAAGTTTATTTTGACTAAGTTTTGGCGGTTTAGTCCATGACTGATGTGAGAAAAGAGAGAAAGAAGCTCTGAGGAGATGGCTTGTCCTACACAAACAAGGATCTGAGAGGTTGGGGGTGCAGACTCCTCTGAAGCTCACAGTCCAGTCAGCTTGACTGTGCACAGTGATGGCAACAAGAGACCCTTAAACAAGAGAAAAGATGAGGACTAACATCCAAAGCATATATAGCATGTCTGAGGAAGACCTGGTAATATTTGCTTTAATTATGGATATGTGTGTGAGGGTATGTGTTGGTGGAGAGTGCTTCTTTGTTTCCTGGGCTCCCAGACCCGAAATAATCACAGAAACTATATTATTTGCAATATTGTTTGGCCAATAGCTTAAGCATATTTCTACCTAGCTCTTAAATTTTAAATTAAGCCATTTCTATTATTTTATATTTTACCACGAGGCTCGTGGTTTACTGGCAAGGTTCTGGTGTGTTTGCCTCTTGCAGTGGCTATATGGCATCTCATTGACTCTGCTTTCTTTCCTCCTCTGTCTGCTTGGAATTCTTGCCTTGCTCTATTCTGCTAAGGCACTGGCCAGTACAGCTTTATTCATTAAGCAATAGTTCACAGCTTACAGAGGGGAATCCCTCATCAGGTATGTGTAAATGGAGACTTCACTTTGTTTTCTGCCTGCCCAGACTCAAGTAATCACACAGAATCTATATTAATTACAACACTGTTTGGCTGATGTCTCAGGCGTAATTTAACTAGCTCTTATGCCTTAAATTAACCCATTTCTATTAATCTATGTATGATTGTGGTCTACCTGTAAGGTTCCGGCATCTTTCTCCTTCAGCAGATGCATGGCATCTACCTGACGCTGCCTTCTTTTTCCTTTCAATCAGTTTAGTTTTTTTCACCTAGCTCCATTCTGGCTTTCCATAGGCCAAAGCAGCTTTTTTATTAACCGGTGGTAATAAAATATATTCCTAGCATATAGAGGGGAATCCCACATCAGCTCTTCATTTCTGTCTAAATGCAAAGCAAGGTTTTAACTTTAACATAGTAAAATTACATATATAAACGTAAAACAGTTATCAATCAAGAATTATAGTTACAATATTTCTAATATCTAATTTATATTTTATTATAACTAAGGAAAACTATAACTATCTGTCTTTAGCTCCATCAAAGACCCACAAGGATATATTACCTAAGTAAACAGGAAGTAACCTTGTAAGCAACTTCCAAAACTCTATTAACAGAGACATCTCATTGCCTGGACAGTCACCCAAAGTTCTTCTGTAACATTGGGGCATCCATCTTCAACCTAGAGGCCCATCCATAGCATACAGCAGACTTTTCCATGAATTTGGGAATTTGAAACAATGTCCATCTATATTGGTTGTTTGTCAGTTGCTTTCCTCTGTGTCCTACAGAGTATCTGGCAGTTTCTTCTGTGAAGCAGGAATTCTGAAGGACCACCCCACCTTTTTCAGTCCGTCAAAGCTCACTGGTCCCTTTCCTATGGGTCCTGAATGTCCACTTTACACAGCATACTGTCAAGCAGTCCAAGCAAGAGTAGCTTATTGCTCAAATGGCTAATCTTGCCACAAAGATAGCAAAGTCCATAAGGAGTTTCTTCAGTGCCCAGCATCTCTGAAGTAAATTGGTACTGCCAGGAGCAGATGTGTCTCATTGTCATGAAAATCTCTAAATTAACAAAACATTTCAAATGCCACATTTTGTAGGTCTTTGGCATGTTGAAGATTATCTGTTTAACTGAAATATATATCTAGAAAACCTAACATAATTAAAAATTTAACTATTATAAGTGACTATTAATCTGTATCTCTTAACTATACATTACACTTTAAATGAGCTGTACAAAACAAGAACAGAAATACATAAACACAGTGCAACCAAATCAACCTTCAATTTGTTTCAATAGACCAAGATCCGTACTAATGCAAAGTATTAATTTTTATATCATTTCTCCCCACCCCCTTTTTTTTAGAAAGATGTTGACTGTGACCATTTAACCATTTGTAATCAACCCCCTTTAAATGAAAAGAAACATAAACGATCATGGTGGGAATTTGGGTGTAATTTTTTCCAAACTGCTTTTTGCTGTTTGTTAGGTGAAATATTTTTAGGGTTTATGAAGACCTTTTAGGGAGTCTTGTTTTATCAAGCCACATTAGCCTAGAAGGAATCCACAGGTTCTCATCTTCTGTGAAAACAAAAACAGAATCTCTTTTTCAAATTAATATATCCTTAGACTCAAATTTTGAAGTCCAGATACCTTTAACATATATATGTTGGTTTAGCATAGCAAGCCATACAATGAAATGTCTCTCTTTACTTAGTTCATTCATTGTGGAAAAATTTAAAGATAACATAATACTATAAATGACCCAGACTCTGTGTATTTTCCATCTTTATGTGGCTTTTTTTTTACTCTTACTTTTTAGTATTTATTGTTTTTACTCCTTTAATCTATGACTGTACTCTTCTCTCTCTCTCCTAAGTCCAAGTACATTTATCCAACACTGACCTATTTAGAGGTCTTTTTTTTGTGTGTGTGTGTCTGAATTTGTCTTTATTGTGTATCTATAATTCTGTTCTGACTAGGAACTCCTCTTAAAATGCTAAGCTACGTAGCTAGGACTAACACTGCTGCTTTGCCTGTTGATTTCACCTAGTCACACATGACATAGGCATGTTCACCGCCAGCCCTGCAAGCCATGCTCATCACCCCAGCTCCAGGGATGCAGTGGGTCTTTGTCATCATTAAGCAATTTATAGCACACTGCTCACAAACCCCATTTAGGTGCTCTGTAGCAGAAACTCTTGAAAGAGCCAGAGCCATGTAGCCAGCATAAACCACACAGTTTTTCCTGCTAATGCTGAATCAGGATGCCTTCTCTTAAAGGAGCCTTGCCTCTGCTCACCACCAGCAAACAGAGCCTATCTGAAAATATGTGGCTACCAAAAAGCTCCAATTGACTCCCATTTCTGTGGTTCTAGAAGACCTTTCTTGAAAGGTTTTTTGGCTTTATGTGGATATACGTTGCCCTACATTGGGCATCATTATGTAAGCAGAGACTGTGGTTTGTTTCCCGGCTGCCCAGACCCAAATAATTACACAGAAACTAATTACAACACTGTTTGGCCAATGACCCAGGTTTATTTCTATCTAGCTCTTACATCTTAAATTAACCCTTCTCTATTAATCTGTGTATCACTACGAGGCTGTGGCCTACTGGTAAGGTTCTGGCATCTTTCTCCTTCAGGAGTCACAATTTGTCTGCCTAACTTTACCTTCTTTTCTCCTGTATTCAGTTTGGTTTTCTGGCCTAGCTCTATACTGGCCTGCCATAGGCCAAAGCAGCTTTTTTATTAACCAATGGTAATAAAACATATTAATAGGGGAAATCCCAATCAGGTATGTGTACATGTGAGTGCCCAACCTGTACACACACCCACACCCTGAACGGCTCCATATCCTTCAATATTGTTCTTGTTGGGTGCCAAGCGTTTAATACATAGGGCTTGGGGGCACTTATGTAAATAACAGTGGCATTCCACGTGGTTTTTCTGTTTACTCATTTACTCCTTCAAAGCACAGGTAATGAATTCACATTTCAAACACTGTTAGGTGCCTTGCTGTACAGAACAATGCAGTACATAGTGGTAGGTGCACTTCAGGAGTGATTCTGCATTAAATCCTAAGGCCATGGAGAAGGTACTTACAAGGTTGATACTGTCAAGACAGGTACTCTGTGAGCCATTCAGAGTAACTAGTAAGACAGGGATGGCAGAAAGTGCTGCTTCCCGTTAGTAGATAGAGAGGAGCCCATTATTTGTCCTTTGGTACTGGGAATTTCCCATCTTGACAGAACTGCTCATTTTGGAAGCATTTCATCCTAGATACCATAATAGAGATAGAAAAATGTTGTGAGAAAATACACAAGGCTTTGAAATCTGGCTCTGTATTCTGTGTGTTCCATCTCTGTCCTACTTTGGTTTCTCTGTTCCTGTGATAAATACCAACCAAACCAACTTAGAGAGGAAAGTGTGTGTTTCATTTTACACTTTCACATCACAGTCTGTCACCGAGTCAGTCAGGGCAGAAACTCAAGGCAGAATCCTGAAGGTAGGAAGTGAAGCAGAGACTGTGGAGGAGTGGTTTACTGGCCTGCTCTGTGGCTTGCTAGCTGACGTTCTCATATAACCTAGGACCACCTGCCCAGGGGTGGCACCACCTGGGCTTTTTTTTTTTTGTCCTCCCATCTCACTCATTATTGAAGAAAACGCCCTACATAAATGCCCACAGGTTAATCTTACAGAGGCCACTCTTCAATTGAATCCACTCTTCCAAGATGACCCCTAGTGTGTGGCACTGACAAAGTCTAACTGGAGCTCATCCTGTCAATCAGAATGGCTTCAGACATACAAACCACCTGCCTCCTGAGTGCTTACATCAAAGGCATCCCAGCACAGCCGATGAAGGCAGATTCTGTGATTCAAGGCCTGTCTGCTTTACATAGTGAGTCCAGGCCAGCCACGGCTACATAGTGAGGCTGTGTGGGTTTGTGTGTGTTTGATTGCAGTACAGAGAGAGTAGACCCTCTGGTATTGAAATTATAGGTGCTTGATGTGGGTGCTATGATCCAAACTCGTGTCTTCCTTCGAGCATCTCTCCAGCCTCCACCTGGAACCCATCTTTCCATTGATAGATTTCGTTTTATGTTTCTGAAAACGGGAGGCAGTGCCAGGCTACCTGTCAGGGCTTCTACATGCCAGGCCTCAAACCCTGCGGGATTTTACCTTTAGGGAGTTTGGAGCAAATTATGCACCCTGGGAAATGAGTGCTCTTTGCTATGCCACCGCGTTCCACATCTCCAGTGTTTGGTCCTGTTTATTACTGTAAGATGTGGGCTTGAGGTTTGTAGTTTAAGGTACTGCTATCAATTTGCTTGACACTTCCTGTTGTGTGAATTTCCTAGGTAATTGGTGGTATTTGTAGCAGGAAGGGTTTGTTTCTGTGGCGACTCAAGGTGGCACACTGTCAACTACTCATGGTTTAGGGTTAGTTCTGAACCATAGCTGGGGGTCTGCCTCTCTGGTTAACTCTGAGCCCATGACCCTTGGGTTTGATTTAGCCAGTGCTTACTGAGCACTGACTACTCTGGGAAAGGAGGGGTAAATAGTCATAGTCCCTTCATGAGAAGACTTCAGCAAATGCACGAGGCTTGCTTTTAGGATGGCAGCCTTGGGCTGTCACTCCAGGAGCTTGCTTTCCCTCATATGTAGCCTGCCTTCGCTTTTTGATCTCTTCACAGGATGAGTGCATGAAGAGAAAATTTCAGGATCTACTGGCTCGGGAGAAGAATGTGATGGCCCTCCCCCTGACTCCCGCTCAGGTATTTTGATGACTGTACTGTATAGCCTAGAATTAAATCTCTGACGAGCAACTCTGATGACTGAAGATTCCGTGCAGTGGCAGGTGCTTAATGACAGGCTTGGTAACATACACATATAAATAATCTCAGCACTTAGGAAATGGAGGCAGGACATTGAATCTGGACAGAGGCAGGGGAATGGGAGTCATGGATCAGTTTGGTCTACGTAGTGGTATTCTACCTTACAAGTATAGTATAGTAGATACTTATTTTTTACTTGCTGGCCATACTTGGGATTGAACCTGGGGCATATGCTGTTTAAGCAAACCTTCCAGCCCAAGCCAGTGTCTCCTGCAGCTCTGGAAGATTTAATAATGCAGGTTGTGTTGAATGGATTGGAGCTGCAGATTTTCATGGCAAGGTGGAATACCCTGTTAGAGAAATGTAAAACTTGAGCAGGCAGTCTACGATGGTTTTCTCTCTCTCGGTTAGTAAGATAATGAGTTTTATTGTGGTGATTTCTTGATTGCAGTTTCATTCTTTTAAAGTTCTTTGTAAGCATAAACTAGTATGCTTATTCATCTCTGTCCTGTTATGCTTTGGTCAATGATCTTGCTCCTTTTTCCTTGCTATTTTTTCTGTTTTTATAAATAGGAAAATAAATTATGACAGAAAAGATTGTTGTTCCCATGAAACAGCAAAGCTTGTGACTGTGAGAGAGATTAGGTCCCCTCTGCATATTGTGCTGGGGGTCGAGCAGGACTCAGTGTGTGGCAAGCCCTCTTTAACACAGGTCAGGGGATGATGGCTGAGAGAAGCTGTTGGTGCTACTGCTATCTGTGTTTAGATGTTCTTCAGCTTACAGGTGCTCACATCCTGGGAGAACTCAGTCTTCAGTTGGAGGCATTTTTAAATGAAAACTTCCTTTAATAACTCCAATCTCTGTGGCGCAATGGTGTGTGAAGCTCTCCTGGTACTCCTGACCCCGAATCATGCTTGACCTGGAATCGTGCTAGAGAGAGGAGAGATCCAAATTTGAACTTGATTTTGTATCCCTGTAAGGCAAAAAATAAAACTCAAACAACAAACAAAAAATAAAAAACTGAACATACATTAGCAGTTAGAGATCACCAGGCAGAGTAGATAAGCATCTTAATTCCAGAGGTGTATTAAGAGGATTCAGTTGTCATGACCACTAGTGATTCTTGATCTTTACCATTTCCCATGAAATGCCCCCAGTTCACCGCTATGAGGAGTTTTGATAGGAGCCGTGCTTTTCTTTTGAACATTTCTCCCTTTGCTTTATTTCAAGCCTTCCAGTCGAAAGCGGCCCCTGGAACGGGAAGTGGAAGATGTTGAGAGCAGAAAGTACCGCGCCGTATGTGATGAACTGGTTTGAACTTAAATGGTGGTGCATGCCTTTAAATCCCAGTACTGGGGAGGCAGAGGCAGGTGGATCACTGTGAGTCTGATGCCAGCCTGGTCTACGGAGCAAGTTCCAGGACAACCAGGGCTGTTACACAGAGAAATCCTGTCTCGCAAAACCAAAAAGGAAAAAAAAAAAAAGGAAGAAATGTGCTTTTTTTCATACTGCTGTTGTCTTTTCCACTTAAAAAAAATTTTTTTTTTTTTTAAGGCTATGTCTTTTAATGGTGAGAATGACTGCTTTTCCATCACTGATACTATTATGTATCATGGAGTCCCCCCATAACTAACTAGGAGACCGAGTCCTGTATATAAAAGCAAAGAGCCTTATTCTTACACAAGTTTGCAAACTTGGGCTCTCCATGTGTCTATCATATTGGAGTATTTGGAGAGTTGGCTTACTTAGGGTTGGTTTTTCGTAGTAGCAAAGGTCGGGGTGAGGGATTTCTAAGGTTCAGGACCCTTGCTTGGCTGACATTTGTCCTGGTGAAAAGCAGTGGGGGTGTGCTGGCAGATGATCCTATCTACAACTGTTAGAACTTTGGGAATTTCTTTTGGATGGTCTGTTCCTGGGTGGTGCCTGGGTGTTCTCAGTTTGTGGTCTTTTTCATAACCAAGTATTGTCTCAGGGTAAACTCCTGAGACTTGGGCCTCTATTGAGCTTGTCATGATTGCCTCCTATAATACACAATTAAAAACTGTGGGGAAAACAAAACAACAACATATTGTGGAAATTGGCCTCTGGACTTATACTTCACAAATAGCACTTTAGATGAATACCTTTTTCTTTAAAAAAGAATTTTAGGTGGGCTATGTGGAAAGATAGTTTAGTGTTTGAGAGCACCCCTGTAGAGTACTCAAGTTAGGTTATTGGCACCCATGTAACTACAGTTCCAGGGAACCTGATGCCCTCTTCTGGCTTCTGTGGCTAACCCGCCCCCCCCCCCCCACATGTTCATGCACACAAACACACATAAACATTAAAGAAAATATTCTAAAATAATGTTAAAAGTTGTTGTGTTTTTATATGGGTCTTTACCTTGACTATTGTCACCTGTCTGGCTTCTCAAGACATCACTCTGGTTTTAGTTTGTTCAAGCTGAATAGAAAGTTTAAAGATGCCTTAGAAAGTCCCAATCCTGCAGGGTAGTGACTACATATCTCTGAGTTCAAGGCCAGCCTGGTCTAGAGAGCAAGTTCCAGGACAGCCAGAGCTACACAGAGAAACCCTGTCACTACCACTACCCACTACCAAAAGTCTAAGTCCCTTAGAAAGGAAAGGGCATGGTGATGTTGGGTGGATGTAGTGGCTGCTGAGGAGCCTATGTGGAGGCAGGCATGTTGCTCCTAGTGTTATAAGCCAGTCTGGAATTCATATCAGCCTTCTACAATCTATCCCTGTGAGAAGCAGAAACAGCAAGTTAGTGAGTTCAAGGCAGCCTGAGCTGTATAGTGAGACTCTTGTTTCAAAATCAAATGAAATGAAGAAGTTATCCTCAGACCTAATGGTTTACATCTCTGAACTCTTGGGCTTCATTGAGATACTAATTTTTCCCAAAATTGTAAGAAGGTGATTGAGGGGAAACAAGCACCACTGGGAGCAGAAGCCAGGAGCAAATCCAGCCCTGGGAGCCAACCCAGTCCTGGGACACTGGCAGACCAGGATTGAGCCAACAACCTGACTCAGAGTCAGCCAGTCTGCGATCTCCATCAGAACTGGAGTGGGACTGAACCAGTTACTTAAGACACAGAACAAGCTCTACCAGGAGCAGAAGCAAGGAGCAAACCTAGTCCTGGGACACAGGCTGATCAGGACTGAGCCAGCGACCAGATCCAGAGTCAGCAGTCTCTACCACAACAGGTCCAACTCCAAGCAAGGGACGTCTGCAGGAGGAGATGCAGACCAAGATTTACAGAAACAGATCAAAGCCAGCAGCCGAGGTCAAGGTAGGCCTGAGACAGCAAACTCCAAGGGAGCAGACCAAAGCACAGGAGCACTGAGCTACCTCCCGGAACAGGAATAACCAGAGGGTAACTAGAACTGTGACACTGACTGTACCACGAGGAACAACCATCTAAGCTTTGGATTCATTGGCACCTAGAAGATTATTCAACAGAATCTCAGACAGCTCCAACCACACCAAGAGGAAAAGATGAGTAGAAAAGTTAAGATCACATGCTACACCACAAAGAGCAACACAATACCAGTAAAACAAAGATCCTACAAAAGCAAGACCTAAACAACCAAATATGGATGAACCAAAAGAAAATGATCTAAAAATTAACCTCAAGAGAATGTTTGAAATTCTTAACTATTAAATGAGAAATTCTCTTAAAGAAATGGAGGAAAGGGGCTGGAGAGATGGCTCAGTGGTTGGGAGCGTTGCCTGCTCTTCCAAACGTCCCTGGGTTCGATTCCCAGCAACCACATGGTGGCTCACAACCATCTGTGATGGGGTCTGGTGCCCTCTTCTGGCCTGCAGGCATATACACAGACAGAATATTGTATACATAATAAGTAGATGGATAACTATTTTTTAAAAAAAAGAAATGGAGGAAAAAACAAGCGGGTGTAGCTATCCTAATATGTAACAAAATAGACTTCAAGCTAAAATCAGTCAAAAGAGACAAAGAAGGACATTTCATATTAGTCACAGGAAAAATCCATCAAGAGGAAATTTCAATCTATGCCCCAAATACAAGGGCACCCTCATATATGAAAGAAACACTTCTAAAGCTTAAGTCATAATTAAACCCCACACACTAATAGTGGGAGACTTCAACACTTCCCCCTCACCACTGACAATCAGACAAAAAATGAACAGAGAAGAGAACTATCAGATGTTATGATTCAAATGGGCTTAATAGACATATATAGAATATTCCATCCAAACAGAAAAGAATATACCTTCTCAGCACCTCATGGAATTTTTTCAAAAATTGACCACATACTCAGTAACAAAACAAACCTTAACAAATACAAAAAGATTGGAATAATCCAATGTACCTTATCAGATTAAAACTAGAAATCAACAGCAATACTAATTCTAGAAAACTCACAAACACATGGAAATTAAACAGTGCTCGCCTGAATCATCAATGGGTCAAGGAAGAAATACAGGGAGAAATTAAAGACTTCCTAAAATTCAATGAAAATGACTACAGATACCCAAATTTGTGGGACACAATGAAAGCAGTGTTAAGAGGAAAGTTGATAGCACTAAATGCCTACATAAAGAAGCTGGGAAATTCCCACACTAGTGAATTAACAGAACTTTAGAATAAAAAGAAACAAACTCACCTAAGAGAACTAACTAGACAGCAGGAAATAATAAAAATTGAGAACTGAAATCAACAAAATAGAAACGAAAGAAATACAAAGAGTCAATAAGACAAAGAGTTCTTTGAGAAAATCAACAAAATAGACAAACCTTTATCCAAACTAACCAACAGGCTAAGAGAGAATATCCAAATTAACAAAATTAGGAATGAAAAGGGGGACATAACAACAGACATGGAGAAAACACAGAGGGTCATCAGGTCATATTTTGAAAAACTGCTGAAGAAATAGAAACAGTCATTAAGGTCTCCCAACCAAAAAAAAAAAAAAAGCCCTGAACCAGATGGGTTCAGCTCAGAATTATAAGACTTTAAGAATTAATGCCAATACTCCTCAAATTATTCCACACAATAGAAACAGAAGGAACATTGCCAAACTTTTTTATGAGGCTACAATTACCCTGATACCCAAACCACAGAAAGACAATACTAAGAAAGAGAATTACAGGGGCTGGAGAGATGGCTCAGTGGTTAAGAGCATTGTCTGCCCTTCCAAAGGTCCTGAGTTCAATTCCCAGCAACCACATGGTGGCTCACAACCATCTTTAATGAGGTCTGGCGCCCTCTTCTGGCTTTCAGGCATACAGACAGAATCTTGTATACATAATAAATAAATATTTTAAGAAAGAGAATTACAGACCAATCTCACTCATGAAGATTGATGCAAAAATACTAAATAAAACACTAGCAAATCAAATTCAAGAACACATCAGAACCATCATCTACCACGACCAAGTTGGCTTCATCCCAGAGATGCATGGATGGTTTAACATACGAAAATCTGTCAGTGTAATCCACCATATAAACAAGCTGAAAAATAACCACATGATCATCTCATTAGATGCTGAAAATTTGACAAAATACAACATCCCTTCATGACAAAGGTCTTGGAGAGAGCAGGTATGCAAGGAACATACCTAAATATAATTAAGGCGATATATAACAAGCCAACAGCCAACATCAAACTAAACGCAGAGAAACTCCCAGCAATTCCATTGAAATCAGGAACAAGACAAGGTTGTCCAGTCCACTCTCTCCATATCTATTCAATATAGTTCTTGAGGTCCTAGTTAGAACAATAAGACATCAAAGGGAGATCAAGGGGATACAAATTGGAAAGGAGATCTGCTTGCCTAGCAGGCAGGGTGAGAAGGGCATGAGGGGGGGGTGGCGGGGAATTGGGAGTGGGCGGGGCTTGTCTCTTAAAGTGACAGGGTATCCAGGTGACAGGCCAGGCCAGCAGGTTTACTTTTACACAGACAGTTGTGAGCTGCCATGCGGATGCTGGGAACTGAACAGGGTCCTCTGGAAGAGCAACCAGGGCTCCACAATATTCTTTTAGGTTTCTTCGAACCAAGATTTCTCTGTGTAGTTTTGGCTGCCCTGGAATTTGCTCTGTAGACCAGGCTGGCCTCGAACTAAGAGATCCGCCTGCCTCTGTCCCTGAAGGGTTCTGGGATTAAAGGCGTGCGCCACCACTACTACCTATAAATTCATGGTTTTAAGGAGAGTAGGCGTTGCATCTTTTCTAGGGATCTCGGTTCTTAACCGCTCAAAACACTAGATCTCGCCTACAGAGAGCCACCTAGTGAGGACTAGCCGCCGAGTGCTTGGATGCAGGAGGTGGGCTTCTGAAGATTCGATTCTAAGCCGCCAAGGGAGAGCACTGGTGCGCCCGCCTTCACTAGCCCCGGCCCCGCGTGGTGCCCTCCGGGTGGTCGGCAGCGCGGCGGGCGGCTGCTCGGAGCCGGGAACAGCGACCCCTGCTTCGGGAGGGCTCGGCCGGGCACGCACTTGCGCGGTGCGTGCGCGTCGAGGGCGGGGGCGCTCGGCGGCGCGCGGCACGGCGGGAACATGGCGCGCGGGAGCGGTGCGCGCGCCTAGCCGGCGGGACCGTTAGCTCTGGGCGGACGCTGACGGGCCCCGCGGGGATGGAACAGCCGCTGACGCTGGCGCCCGAGCCCGGCTCGGCGCGGAGTCGCAGGCGGCGGGAGCCTGAGTCTCCGCCGGCGCCGGTGAGTGTGAGCGGGGCGCGGGCCGGGAGACTTTCTTTGTGAAACTCCGTCGGTGCAAGCCGGGCCGGGCCTCGGCGGCTGACGAGTGACTTGGAGGTAGAGGCCCCCGCTCTTCGGGGTTCGAACCCCGCTGCGAACCGTTAGGCAGACCCGTCCCGGCATCTGCCCGCCTGCCTCAGTTTCCACGGCTGTGTGTGCCTCGCGAGGGGCTTGGAATGCAGCGGGCACCTAAGATCCGCCCCTCCTCTTCCTCGGCCCCGCCCCCTCGGAGCGGGACAGCTTGGGGGCACCCGGCCCGTCTCTCTGCACGGTGCCGACGCCCGCAGGCTCAGGTGTTGCCCCCGGTGCTGATGGTAGGGAGCAGGCGACGA